GTATATATATATATTTATTTATTTATTTACTTATTTATTTATTTATTTACCTGTATACTGGCTATAGCTCGATTGGTTTGACCAGATTCCATCCACCAGGACAGCCGGCGAATGTAAGTGTGCAAGAGAAAGTTATCCGTGTTTGGCTCCGGCTTGTGTGATCTGAAAACAACAAAATTATTTTGAAAAAAAACTTCAATTTCAAAGACGTCATCAGTGAATAAGTATGATTTTGTGCGTACCTGAACGTCCCAGTAAGAATAGCATTCAATTTCGAGAAACAGCGATCAAAAGCTCTATCCTAAAATAGATCAAAGTGGGTAAGTGTAGTATCTTAGCCTTCCATGTATAAGCCGCACTCTCAAAGTTGTGTATAGATGTTGCTTGCAGCACTAATTGCGATGCGCTCAGTTCATTAGTGATCTTAACGCTGGAAATGAAATTAATCACATTGCCAATGGCCTTTTCATATAGGCGATATAGGGCCGGTATGTTCGCGTACAATTTTTCAGCTGCGCTATACTTTAGAATCAACCATTTTCTCTAAACCTCAGAGAGGAAAAATATTTTTTTTAGAAAGACCTACCAATACTTGCCTACTGTAGTTAGCAGAATCGAACTGTATATAATCCAGATACTTTGCCCATACCGAACAATTGTTAACAAAGCCATTCAAAATCTGAACAGCAACGATTCAATTAACCGTTGAAATGATACGAACAAAGCAAGCTTCATAAATGGTGACTGAGATGGCAAAGCAAAATAAATCGTGTCAAGTTATTAATTTATTTACCTTCTCCCATTCAACCAACAATTCTTCTTTGGGACGTAGTTCTTTCAGATACTCAAGCCTTTTAAGCCGAAATTCCACAGCACGTTGATTGCTAGAGATTGCCTATGAAAACACTCATTTCACGGAGGTTGCAAAAAGATAACAGGTAATGATGACTACCTGATCAATAATTGAAATCTGACGATCAGCCAAGACCCTACGATCACCAGCTATACCACCAACACGGCTTGCTTCAAATAACTCTTCCTAAAACATACCTTTCATGTTGAGGATTGTTGCAACTTTATTAAGAACTTTGGTTTTGAGGGCCTACATTGATTTTGAGGAACTTCTCCAGCACTACGGGATCCCTCTTATTGTTAGCAAACTCAGATGCAATTATTCGTCTTTGAGTTTCAAGATGAACAGCATGAGGAGGTGTTGAGAGCTGAATGTCCATTTCATTGATAGATTGAAAACAACACGAGTCAAAACAAAAGAAAATGGACTAAACATACTGCAACTTCAAGTTCCAGCGCTTCTCGCTCTTTTTGTATAGCGTTGCGCTCTGCTATCTGATGCTAAAACATACGCGGTTTAAGCAACAAAGTTGAAAAGATGATAGCAACTTACCAAAAACTCAAACTCTTGCAATTTTGTTTTTGACAAAGCTACGTAATCCAGATTGGTTTCGTATAAAGCCTGTAGTTTACGGAACTTTCGTTCAACATTGGATTCATCCAACCTCCGCAAAGTTCCATCAAAATATCTATCTGATCGTTTACGCTTATCTTTGATGTCGCGCAACTCCTTTGCGAAGAAAAGCTGAAATGCTATTCA